TGCATTAACAAAGCTTATAGGGTTTTGAAATTTGACTCATTTACATATAAAACAAGTTGAAATCGAGCTAGCTAGCTAACTAGCCAAAAACTAACCGTTTATAAATATTAATATTTTTTATACAAATCGTTATAGACTTAGGCTTCGTTTGTTTTTTTGGTGCTTTTGTAAAAGACAGTTTTAAAACACATTAGTTCAGAAAATGGAGTTTTATAACGGAGAAGCATATATAAAAAACTTTCTCAAAACTGCAGAAAAATAAAAAAAGGAGTTATTGGGAACGTGATTTGACGAACCAAACAACAAAAAAAAAAATTCCTCCGTTTCCAAAAACGGAAAAGGCAAAAAAACGCTCAAACAAACAAAGCCTTACTAGTATGATGAAAGATGATAAAATTTCAAGTTTATCCTTTTGTATTGCTAAATGCCTTCTTGGGATGAGGAAGCAATCAATCAAGTGGTGGATAAAACGATAAACCACCATAAGAAGATTTGGGAGTTGAAAATATTTTTTTTCCAAAGTATTATATAACTTTTAGAGCAAAGTAGAGACAATTTGATTACTATTAGAGACTCATTCTCTAAAAAATAATTTATTATATATTCCACAAACTTACACAGACCCTACAAATTTCATATAGAAACAAAACACATATTCTTTATTGTACCAACAAAAAGGAAACAAAAACAATAACACTCATACATAAAGAAGTTCACAAATCCATAAAAAGGAAATCATACATCCACAAGAAACAAATCCATTTGATCTTTAATTACTAGTTGTTCATCCAGAACTTAGCCTGCAACAAATCCACCGTCTTCTTATCAAGCTGGAACGCCTTCGCCAAAATTTCATCCGAAATCGGTGGCTTCGATCCAAACACAGAATTTGCAATGGTGATCACCCCTGGATTCTGACTACTTAGCCCAGAAAGTGCCACAGCACTCTCATGACCAGCATTGAACTGGAAGTGAATAAGCCCCTGAGGGAAAACAAAAACATCACCTTTGTAAAGAACCTTAGCAAACAATTTATTATCAGGGTTCGAGGAGACGAAGCCAACAGAGAGAGTTCCCTCCAGCACAACCAAGATCTCTGTGGCTCTTGGATGAGTGTGAGGAGGGTTGAGGCCGTAAGGCGCGAAGTCTATGCGAGCTATGGAGATGCCAAGTGTATTCAGACCCGGGAGGTTCGTAACGCTCACGGCTGTCACATTTACGCCGAGCTAGTTAGCTGTGTTTCTGGGGTAGTTGAATCCGGGGAAGAAGAAGTCATTCGCAGTGACGAGGTTCGGGTTCTTGCAGACGAAGCCATTCACAAAAACTGCAGAAGCAAACAACTTGTTTAACATTGGTATATGATAGAAGTAAATATTCTTACAGATGGCTAGATACCGTTAGATGTAATGTCTGCAACGCAGAAGTCTTGGAGCTGAGTAGGGTCTGTGGCCATTGCAAGCGAGGCGGCCATGGCAAGGAGGGCAAGGAGGAGGAAGTGAGAAGCCATGGATAGATATCTGAAGCTCTACTCGTTAGCTTTCCTATAATAACAATTGGTTTATATGATTAAACTGTGATATATATGGCTGATGCCTGATGGATAGTATATATAGAGTTCAAAACATCAGAAAATTCCATAGCTGCAAGGCAATGGAAGTTGAAACGGTCAAGCCTTGGTTCAAAAAGATCAAAAGTCTTTAGGAGCAGGTTGTATTTGCTTTTCTCTAATGGCTTCTTCTTTCATGGTTAACTGAAGAATCACCTGCTCCCCTTTCTAGGATATCTGTAAATGACACAAATAAACCGCCATATGATTCATTAGGATAAAACATGCTTGATCTTAGAAGAAAGCTCGTCAACAAAGCTATTCCTCATACTATTCCTTCAATACTAAAATAGCTGCTCGGTATTTGCCTCCAAGTCTGAAGTTGTCCAAATCAACAAACGAAGTTGTCGAAGTTTCAAAGCCACTCATTAGAGACTTAATCAAAATTCATATTTTATTTACACCCTTCATGAATTCTCTTTATAATTAGAAATTATATGTGTGGGCTCCAAAAATTCATGCCTCAGTTTTTCGGTTGCTTTTTGGTGGAGTTTTAATGGATTAAGTTTCAGGGTTTGTAGATAAGACAATACTAAGAGATTTTTCCCTTATTTTGCGTGGACCTTAGATCTGAGTTCTAGTTTCCGATAGGTGTAAAACCACTATAATTACTTACCCCTCTTGACAATGAAAGAGAGCTTTCGATTAAGGCTAGTCGCTAATCAGGTACACATAGAGATACGCGATATCTGGTGTATAGCAGCAGCACAGAACGTATTGAAAGATTTGTATTTAAAATAAAAATTTAATCAAATATTTGTCTAAGATGACAGATTTGAATCCATCTTAGCTAACATAGGGCTTTGTGCTATATTGATTATATCCTATTGATTCATATTTCAATGATAGTGTCCTTGGAGAGCATACGGGCTCTGGCCATAACGTAATTTAGTGGTGTCATTTGGCAGTAAACTATACGGTTCAGAGGGTCCTGGTCATAACCGTTTTCCTCCAGTGCAATTTGGCAGCAAAATTGTCAGTTATAGGACACATGCCAAGACTTTCATGGCAGGAGATTATTTGATAATGAATCATAGTGATATTCTCGACCAAACACTAGCTCTTTATGAGCTGAAGTGTATTTTCAAATTTTTCTATCTCGGAAAACTGTTGCAGATGATGGATGACTTTTTGCTTTAAGCGTTTTGATAGTTCATTTCGAATTTTAAACATTTTAGAATTTTGATATTTTTTGGAGTTTTGAATTTCATGGGCATTTGGGTGGTATTTGAAGTGTTTGGAATTAACCTTTCAGGTTGAGATCTACGTTCAACACTGCCATCATCAGGATGATGAGTTATTTAGAAATTTCATTGATGGAAATTGAAACATAATTAAAATTTTGATTTTTTTTTAAAGCCACTCCTTTGAGCTCCAATTGAGATCTCCCTCCATGGTTGCCTACGAGTCTGAAGTTATCCAGATCGTTTGTCCAAGTTTTAAAGCCACTCATTGGAGACTTCATCAAAATTCATATTCTATTAAATCCCATCATGAATTCTCTATATAATTAGAACTTATATGCTACTAAATAAATTCATTTTATAACAAGAATTAGTTAAAATTTGTTATGTAATTTAATTTAAATGCAGCATTTTTATATAGCATTGTATATTAATTCAAACCTAC